TACAGAGCCTGGTAAAAGCAACTTGGACATCCCACTTCTTCAACATTTCCGCCCAAATCTTCCACACAAAGGGACACCAAATTAATACATGGATCACTGATTCTCTGCCACTGTCGCAAAACACACAAGCTGTGGAAGCATTTTGATTAATCACTCCCAGTTTTTGTAAAAACTCCTTTGTTTTAACTCTCATTTTCCAAGCAAACCAACCAAAAACCTGCACCTTAGGAGGGATGTAATTGAGCCAAATCAGTTTAGTAATACTCATGGTGGCACCTGCATTGTCCACAACAAACTTATATAAAGCTGTCACATTTAGAACCCTAGAAGGTGAGGCTGACCATACAGGTCGGTCAGCACACTCTGGACACACTGCAGGAGCCACCAATAGATAATTAAGAAGCTTATCTAGCTCCTTCTCCTCTCATTCATATAACTCCCTTCTAAATGCCAGGGACCAATCACCAACTATAATTTTCTTATCAACCTGTACTCTCAAGGATTCCTTTTTTTCATAGAAAACCTATATAGAGTTGGGAATTCATCCTTCAAACAAGTAGATTGACACCATGTATCAGACCAAAACCTGATCCTCCTCCCATCCCCAACCTTCAAATGAAAATTATTCAAATAATATCCTTTAGACTATTGCACTGTTCAGCAACAGAAATGATCCCTTTCCAAACTGCCGAGTGGCAATTAGATGGAATAAGAGATGGAATCCAACCACCCACCTCCATCTTATATCTGCTACAGAGTACTCTTTTCCACAAAGCATCCTTTTCACCACCAAACCTCCACCACCATTTAATTAGCAAACACTTGTTCACATCCCTTATTTTCCTGATGCCCAATCCTCCATGATCCACTCTTTTAGACAAGTCCTCCCATTTGATCACATGAATTTTCCTTTCTAGTTCAAAACCACCCCATAAGAATGTAGCTTGAAGCTTCTCTAACTCTCTAGCAACCCCTTCAGGCATCTTGAACAATGACAAATAAAACACTAGCAATGCTGATGTTACTGCTTTAACAAGTGTTAGCCTCCCTGCAAAAGACAACAACTTCCTTTTCCAACCAGCTAGTTTGCTTTTGACTTTATCCACAATTGGTTTCCAAGTAGCTTTCTTCCTTGGGTTAGCTTCTAATGGCAGCCCAAGATAACTGAGAGGTAATGATTTAATTTTACAATTCAGAATTTCAGCAAAACATCCATCATCTCCTTAGAAACACCCACACCGCATACAACACTCTTACGAAAGTTTATTTTCAGACTAGACATGATTTCGAAGCACTTTAGCACCCTTTTCAACTTTCTCACCTCATCCACCTCAGCTTCACAGAATAACAATGAGTCATCTACAAACTGTAGATAAGTTAATAACACACTATCATAGCCTACCTTTACACCTTTAATCAAGCCTAACTCAAAAGCTCTGTTTAATAACACATGTAGACCTTCTGCTGCTAGATTAAACAGAAAAGGGGACAAAGGGTCTCCTTGTCTTAGACCCTTTTGTGTGCTAAACTCTTCAGTAGGAGATCCATTAACGAGCATTGAGACCCTTGCAGTTGTTACACACTCCTTAATCCAATTGGTCCACTTGGCTTCAAATCAAAACTTAGAAAACATAGAGAAGAGAAAACTCCAATTAATAGAATCATATACCTTTTCAAAATCCAACTGAATAAGCACTCCCTTCTTCTTGGGTTTCTTCTATCCATCAACAACCTCATTAGTAATTAGCACCCCATCAAGAATATTTCTTTCACTTAAGAATGCAGACTGAGACTCACTTATGATATGTGGCATCACAGTTTTCAGTTTATTTGCCAACAATTTTGCTATGATCTTGTAGATTGAGCCTACCAAACTTATAGGTCTATAATTAGATAGCCCTGTTGGAATATCCCTCTTCGGAATGAGGGTTATGAAAGAACTATTTATACCCTTCACCAATTTACTATTCTTGTGAAATTCTTTCACAAAGCTAATTACATCACCCTTCATGACTTTTCAAAACTTCTGAAAACACAGCAAATTAAAACCATCAGGTCCTAGTGCTTTATTCCCGTCATAATCCATCACTGCTGCTTTGATTTTTGCTTTTGTAAATTCTGTTTCTAACAGTCCAAACCTCACCCTACTTTCTACTGATGGAAAATGACCTCCCAACTCAGGTCTTGATGGCCAGTGCTCTGAGTACTGATTTTTGAAGTGCTCAAAAACCTTACCCTTCACTTGACTCGGATCTTCAAACACCACCTCCCCTTCTATGATAGAATTTATTTCATTTCTTGTTGCCCTGCCTTTTGTTACTACATGGAAATATCTTGTATTTTTATCCTCTTTCATTGCCCAGTCAAGCCTTGACTTTTGTAGCCATAACCATTCCACCATCCTACTTAACCTCCATATCTCAGCTCTAACTTCACTTCTCCTAACTTTTTCCGTACCATCAAGGTCTCTAATCTCAGCCAGAAGATCAAAGCTATGAAGTTCACCCTCTACTACCTTCAATTTATTTAGTACATTTCCAAAAACCTCCACATTCCAACTTTTGAGGCCACTTTTCAAGATCTTCAACTTTTGAAGCAGCATAAACCTAGCCCAACCTTCTACTCTGGACTCTTGCCAATTTGTCTCCCAGAAACTCTGAAAATTTTTGTGTAAGAGCCAAGCATTTAGTACCCTAAAGGACTTTGGGCCCCAGTCCCTCTCATCCTCCATCATAAGGAGAGGGCAGTGATCAGAAACTAGTCCAGGTAGCCCCCACTGCTTTAGGTTGAACACCTTAAGCCATTTTGGGTCTATTAAAATTCTATTTATTTTACTCCACTTCTCACCAGCACATGAATTGCACCAAGTGAACCTCCTCCCAAGTAATGGTAAATCAGATACCTTACACTTATCAATAAAGTCATTAAATTCTTTCATGCCTCTATCCCTCCTTCAACACCCTTTTGTTTCCCCAGTCTGCTTAATCTCATTGAAATCCCCTCCTAAACACCAAGGATTAGGGAATTCCTTCTTCAATTTCGACAAACAATTCCACAGATTCCCTCTTGAGCCCACATCATTAGGTGCATAAATGTTTAGAATAGCACAATCAAATTGGTTAAAGAGGGTACCTGATAATAATAAGAATCTTCTATTGCTACAGGAGTCCTTGACTTGGAAGACATCTGGATCCCAAATGCACTTCAATCCCCCTGCAGAGCTTACAGAATCCACCACCATAAACTCCATTTTTCCCCTTATCCACACAGATCTGACTTCATCCTCTGTAATTTCTATCTTCTTTGTCTCTTGGAACAAAGCAACATCTACATTTCTCTCATTCAAAAGCTTCTTTAATTTGCCTCTCTTCTCTTTCCTCTCTATCCCTCTAATATTCCATGATAGAATCTTTATAACTAACCTCTATTACTCCTATTCCCCCCCCAGCTGGGGTACTCTATACCCCAACTCTCACCCCCCATTCAATGCGTTCCTTGTCCATCAATTCAGGGTCCACTATTTTTTCCAACACTTCAGCCCTCTTCCCATTAAACTGTACACGGAGGACTTCCCTCATTTTCAGAGTTGCTTCGGCTTCATTCTGGACGACCCTCCCTTTATCTATTCCACCCACTATTGATGCAGATAAGGACATTGCCGCCATTGCTGCTCACCAGACTGCAGCCCTGGGCAGTGCTCTACATGTTGAAGCGCCTCCGCTTCCATACTTCCTCATTAGCTCGAAAGACCTTTTCCTTAGAAAATTCTGATTAGACCTATTTCTGCTCTAATCCTTTCCTTCCCCTTTCTATGCCTTATATGTCTACTACTGGGCTCCTTCTCATGGGCTTCAGAAAGGCTTGAAACTCTCCCAAGTGGCCCTACTGCATCAGACTTATCTCTTACAGTTATATCCTGATGCTCTAGCCCAGTCTATGAATCACAAAGCCCACCCCCTGACTTAGTATATTATTTTGGCCCAAAATCACTTCAATATTCACTCCAGGCCTTTCTAGGCTTGACCTACCTAGACTTCTAACATAACCTGGCATACACACTTGATTTTCCATGCTCTAACTGACTATCGTCTCTTCTGTTGAGCCAATCCTCTGGTTTTGTACTTCCATCATTATGTTGCAGGCCTTAACACTCATTACTTTCCCCACATCACCTCAAACATCTTTAGCTTCCGCTACACCCCTCCGGCATGCCACCTTCTCTACCTCCACACTTTGACTTCCACTACCTGGCCTAGTTTCTTGAGCCATATCATGCCCAACTTCCAAGTCAGCAGCTGAATCATCCTCCATATCAGCATCATCTTCTTCGTCCTTCCTGCAATTCCGACCCACACTTTGTTCCTCTAACACATTTGAACTACCAATCTCATCCACATCTTGAAGCTTGTGACATTTGTAAGTAAGTTCTAGTGTTTTCACTGTTACCACCTGTTCTTCGCAAACTCTCACTGGAAACACCATCCCTCTGTATTTCAGATTTACAACTGAATTTATGGGTTCCATGCTTTTGGTGGAGACCTTAACCTTTGCACACACAAATGATAATGGTTGGCTCATATCTCCTTCAAAACATAAAACTTGCCCCCATACCCCACCAATCATTCTTATATTGGAGCTATTCCATAAGTGTAATGGGATGCCATAGCAACTGAGCCATACACATCTTTCCTGCTCCAGTACCTGCCCTGGTTTCCCTTTAGCAATATCTTCGCACCAGTCCAAAATCAGCTTCTTAATAGATGACATTTTCAGCGCCCTCTCCTCTTTTGATCTGAATGTTATAACCACATCCCTTCCACCACTTTCTCTTACCATAATATCCTCTATTCCTATTGCTTCCAATTCCGTTTTTAGACTAATATTAGCATATTGAGCCTTCAATCTGATAATTATACTCTCAAACAACCATCCATTCCCTATCTCATCTGCCTTTAACATGATGCTTCCTATTCTCCATCCCTTTTTTCCTGCCATAGTCTCTACATAAGATCTCTTATCTCTAAGGCCATTTGCCCAGTTCTACCATCTCTACCTTGAGTGACATGAACTACTAGTCTCCGTACTTGAGTACTTAATGGTATTCTTGTAGCTTCACCACCTACCTTGTCCTTCCCAAACTCTGCAGATTTTACCTGTAATGGTCCATCATCCACCCATAGACCATTGGCTTTCTGGACAACTATTTTGGCTGCCATAAAGCAATAAAACCTCACAAAACCAAACATTATGTTGGTAACCCTTCGTCTCTTTTGCGGTATAAAAACATCCTTCACCACTTCAAACTTTGTAAAAAGATTGAACAGACCTTTTGGATTCAATGATGCTGGTAGGTTGTCCACAGACACAGTGAACACACCTACACTCCCTTCCGTCCTCCATGGTCCTGGTCTTCCCCTAGCCCTCACGACTGGCATCCACCCTCCCCACTAACCTCCTTGCTTCATAGCCTTTTTATCATATAAATCTATATAAATATAAGGAATGCTTACTAGAAATGAATGTTTATTCAATAGCTGGGGTGGTAGAATTGCCAATAGTGAGGCGGGATAAAGGAAATTGAAATGGTAAAGGATCCCACTTCCTTTAATGTGGAGGCAAGTTTAATTGACGGCTCATCATGAGTCACATTTGAATGATATAAATTGTTCATTTTGTAAATTATTGTAAGTAGAAATCGAATTAGGAGAGGTTTTCATCAACTAAGCCCGGCTTGAAATAAATTGAGACTAAAATGATAATTTTAAATGAATTTTTATTTATTTTTTAATATTCTTGTAATTTTTTTATTTAAATTCCCTCCCTCCTATATTTGAAATGTAAAATAACTAAAAGATAATATTAAGAAAATTATATTCCCAATATAAGTTTAGTTATATGGTGATGATAAGATATTGACAATTTGTTATGAAATTAGTAATTTTTGCACTGGAAGGAATTTGAGGAAATTTTTATTTTTAACTCTCAAAATATCACTCAAAAATCAATTAATGTGGCATCAAAACTTGATTTGAAATTTCATTTTACATTATTTCCCAAACTATTATCAAACTATCAATTAGGCCCCTTAATATATAAAATAATATCTAATAATAATTTTCATTTTAAAAATGAGAAAAATTAATTTAAATAATAAAATTTACAAAAAAAAAAAAGATTAAAAAAGTATACCTCAATTAAATTTGTCACTTTAAGCCTCAAATTCCTTGAATCTATCATGAGAATTGAGTCCGAAATTCTAAGCCCACTCTCTCTCTCTCTTTGTTCCAAATTGAGTCCAAAACTCTGAGTCCACCTTGCAAGATTTATTTTTTTACAAGAATGATATTCTTAAAGTGTCCTTGTGGCTCGACAACAAAGTTACTGGTGACATCTTTCTCCTCAACTCATAGCTCTTTCATATTTTCAAGTGGTTATAAACCTCTTTTCCATCCAATCACCAATCTATCTATTGTATTTTACGGATATCACCATATACCGACATCCACTAATGTGTCCTCGTCGTTTCTAGCAACATTGGGTGTCTCCAACTTGAACATTTGCCGATGATGGTCCAACACCATGCAAAAGAATTTATTGCCCAATTAATTGAAATAATACACCACTATAATTGATTGTACAATTGATTGGATGGCTCGACCACCACTAATCGATTCTCCAATTGATTGAATGGCTTGATCACCACCAATAGATTTTTCAATTGATTGCACATCTAATTTTACAAAAGAATTGATTGGTCAATCGATTGGAAGAATTGATCACTCTAATCGATTTGTCAATTGATTGGATGACTTGTCCACAACCAATTAATTGGCCAATCAATTAGCGTCATCAATTGATTGGATAAATTGATCAATAACTTACTCAAATTTGTATTACTTATGCATTTTTGTGAGATCACATACGTGATTTTGTGAAAATTTTCGTGATTTTGTGTTCCCCAAACTTTTATCAGATAACTTACGGAAAATTTATGTTAACTTACGCATTTTTGTGAGATCTCATACGTGAATTTATAAAAATTTACGTGCTTTTGTGTTGTTCAAAATTTTATGAGATGATTTACTCGAATTTGTGTTATTTACTCATTTTTTGTGACATCATTTACGTGATTTCATGAAAATTTATGTGATTTTGTGTTTCTAAAAAATTTTAGGAGATCATTTATGGGAAATTTGTGTTAACTTACTCATTTTTGTGAGATCACTTATATGAGTTTGTAAAAGTCTTACGTGATTTTGTGTTGTTCAAAATTTTATGAGATCATTTACTCAAATTTGTGTTATTTACCCATTTTTGTGAGATCACTTATATGATTTCATAAAAATTTATGTGATATTGTGTTCCAAATTTTTTTAATAAGATCACTTACAAGAAATTTGTGTTAACTTACGCATTTTTGTGATATCATTTACGTGAGTTTGTGAAAAACTTTGTGATTTTGTGTTATTTAAAATTTTATGAGATCGCTTACTCGAATTTGTGTTATTTACATATTTTTGTGAGATTACTTATGTTATTTTGTAAAAACTTACGTGATTTTGTGTACCTAAAAATTTTTATGAGATCATTTAAGGAAATTTTGTGTTAACTTATTTTTTGTGATATTAATTACGTGAGTTTGTGAAAGACTTAAGGGAGTTTGTATTGTTCAAAATTTTATGAGATCACTTACTCAAATTTAACTTATGCATTCTTGTGAGATAACCTTCGTGATTTCATGAAAACTTATGTGATTTTGTGTTCTGAAATTTTTTTATGAGATCACTTACGAGAAATATGTATTAACTTATGCATTTTTGTGTGATTACTTGCTTGATTTCGTGAAAACTTACATGATTTTGTGTTCTTCAAAAATTTTATGAGATCATTTATGGAAAATTTGTGTTAACTTCACATTTTCGTGAGATTACTTAAGTGAGTTTGTGAAAACTTACGTGATTTTGTATTGTCCAAATTTTTTTGAAATCATTTACTCAAATTTGTGTTACTTATGCATTTGTATGAGATCACTTACGTGATTTCTTGAAAACTTACGTGATTTTGTGTTCCTAAAAATTTTATGAGATGACTTATGAAAAATTTATGTTAACTTATGCATTTTTGTGAGATCACTTACATAATTTCATGAAAACTTACGTGATTTTGCATTCCTAAAATTTTTTATGAGATCACTTATGAAAAATTTGTATTAGCTTACATATTTTTACGAGATAGCGTACGTATATATAATAAAATATTTTATTTTAATATAGTTGACTTGTAAGTTGACATGTTTAACAAGTTAACAATGTGTGACAATAAATTTTCTTAGTTTAGTGACATTTGAAAGTGTCACAAAACTATTCCTCTAGTGACATTTTTTAGTTTTGTGGCGTTTTGAACACGTGTCATTTATACCCATGCCACGATAGATACTAGTGGTACCTCAATGACACTTGTAAGTGCCATTACACCAGCATGGCTAAAGACTTTCAATGACAGTTTGATGTCATGATAGACACTATTTGTGACACTACCAAGTGCCATTAAAAAAAGACCTAGTGGCACTTTACTGACACTTGTAAGTGCCATTACACTATTAAAGCTAAACACTTTTAATGACACTTTGATGTGATGGTAGACACTAATCGTGATGCTACCAAGTGCCATTAAAGAAGACTTACAATCTAAAAAATGCCACTATATGTTTTTTTAATAGTGCGTGTTATGCCATAATTGATATTTTTAACAACTTTATAAATGTCACTAAATCCAATTCATTTGTGACATAAATGGATATAAGTGTCCTTGGAGCTTATTCTAGTGACACTTTGCAAAGCTACTACCGCTACTATGAAATGCTACTTATGTTTTCTTTTTAACAACACTTTTAAAAGCCACAACTAAGCATGCGTAAATGCCTATAAAAAATGTCTTTTATTTTATAAAAAAAAATTAAATATTAATTGCCACATCTTATATTAATTTGACATTCATTCATCTTGTAATATTTTCATAATAATAAACAAATATTACCACTATAGGATAATCACATCAAAAACAAAGAAAATTCAAACCACAATTATTTTTTGATCTAAAGATATAATTTATTTATATTACAATAAAAATCATAATGAAAATTATAAAACATTCCACCACACTAACAAAGTATAGCGATCCCGGTTGTCCCTTTACTGTTCTGTCGTATTCCGGACTCGGTTCCGTGATGTTGGTGGTGGTATACCTTGTTGTCATCCTCTAATTCCACTTGATTAAGTTTTAGGATGTATTGGGCAGAGTTGTTACATGTTAGTTAGGCTTTGGTTTCAGTTCTTTCTTGCCCAGTTTTTAAGAGGTCCGCTCGAGCGGGTCTTCTTGCGCTCGAGCGGAGATTGTACGCTCCCAGTATTTTGGTGCTCTGCAGAACTTCTGCAGGCATGTTTTTCACACTCGAGCAGATTTCTTTACGCTCGAGTGGTGGCACTCGAGCAGGTTGTACTTTTTGGTGTAAGTTCTGGGAGGGGGAAATCCACGCTCGAGCGGACTGGTTTTCGCGCTCGAGCGGATGTACTTTATACTCGTGTCTTGGCGCTCGAGCGGGCCTTATTGCGCTTGAGTGGACCTAGTTTTTTGTTCTTGACGCTCGAGCATTGTGTTCTCCGCTCGAGCAGGAATGTCGTATATCAGTTGGCAGCTGGGCATTTTAAAATCACTTTTTACATTCTCTCTCTCTCTTACTTTCTAAAAAGACATTTTGAGAGTTCCTCTCTCTAGAAACTCCCTTCTCTCTAGGGTTTGATCTAGTTAGAGTGTTTCCTTTTCCTTCGGCCTTTGTAAAAGTTGGGTTGATCGTCGAGGGCTACACTTTGATCCGAGAATATTGAGTTTTGGAGCACGTTGAGTTTCTTCACCTTCTTTCCTTGAGCTCTGAATTTGAGGTAGGGATTCCTACTCACTTTTATGGGTTTTAACCTAGATTTTGAGCTTATAGTTTAAATGGTTGATTTTGGGACTTAGGGTTTCAAAATGTGTTAAAGAGGGTTTTGTGATTTTGGGCTTATAACATGTATTTTGGGTTTCAAAATGGTGTTATTGATGTTGGTTGTTGATATTTAGACCATTGGGTCAATATTGGGAAATGGGGTAGAAAACCCTAATTAGTTGTATAAATTAATTGGTATGATTAATTTGGGAAAATTGTGGTCATATGGAATTGAGTTGAAAATAATGAAATTGGTTCATTATATGGTTGAATAGTGGAGTTAGATTTATTAATCGCTCACTTTTGAAAACATTGATATTTTATCTGTTGGAGCTTTTATTATCTGTTTAGAAATAATTGCTTGGGCTACCGGTGGAGGGTAGTTTTGATTGTTGTAGACAATGCATGATGATTAGGCAAACTAAAACTAATCAACTGGATATGTCATAGAGT